CAGAAATTAAAACAATTAAACAAAAGTACTGCAACTGTTTTCCGTTCAATGTAAAATGACAAATTTGTAATGGACCAAAAAAAAAAAAAAAAAAAAAAAAAAAAAAAAAAAAAACCTGCTGAACATGTCAGCAAAATATATATCTGAATATCTCACGAGGTTACTTAAGATTTCCTTGATTCTTAGTGCATATAATTTTAGATGGCCTGAATTAGGATTTGTTCAGGGAGTTCGCCGCCCGCCACCGCCCTCATCGGCTCCAAGATTTCGAGGTCGTATTCATCACCAGCACAATCTATGATGGCCTTCCATAATCTGTCACCCCTAACCTTAGACTTGTTCAACATCAGCATCTTCCAAGCCACTATATATTGATACAAGACCACCTTCAAATTGTTAAAAATTTCAACCTGCATCTGTCGACACAGAACAGGAAGCAGAAATTTTGATTATAGATGCTTACCGTATGGTGTTGACACCAAAATTATGTGTCAACGCCACATCCTTGCCGGGTTTCTGTCTTTTTGTAATTTCTTCAATGGTAAAATAGCACATCTGATCCTCCAATTTTTTACAATGAGCGTTTAGATCCCAAAACCCAAGATTTATTCATTTAGGCCCACAAGATAACACCTTGCTTCTTGCAATTTAGTCCCTCAACCGTCAACGAGATAATACCACATCATTCATAAAATAGTAATAATAAGTCTTTTTTTAATTTGATCTTAATTGCATTAAAAAAGATAATTTTTTTACGTTTTTTATCTCTTCTCACTTATATATCATAAGATTTAAATTCATAATTTCTTATTTTTAATGGAAAAATATTATCATTAAATTATTTAAGTTGTTAATAATAATAATTTAATAATAATAATAACAATTGGAACACGTAATTAATGGTGAATTTGTATACTAAATCATGCAAGATCAAGTAACTGAGAAAGAAATCTATAAAATTATCATTTTGATTGTGTCTCATAATTTTATTATCTCATTGTATCATGTTAGAAATATACACAGCACCATTGCAATGTAAAACCTTTTTTGAGGTCACTATGATTGCAATTCCAAATTAGATGAGTTTTTTCTGAGAGTTTAGTTTGCATAGCCATAAATGCTTTTGAATAAAAGTTTCTACAAAAATATATATTGAATTGTTATAAATTCATATAAAATAATCTGATTAAAGTTAAAAGATCACTCGAGAGATGAGATTGACACTCAGAATTATGCTTAACATGTGGAAGGAAGAAATGAAGCTAACTGAGTCAACACCAAAAAAAGGGTAACAGATAAAAACATGTGGTGAGAACATTAAATATCTATATTTTAGGGGGGCCTGGCCCCTCCAGCCCCCCCACCCCCCCACTCCACCATTATCAATACCAAAAGAAGATTAAAGTTAATATTTTATCTATGTTATCAAATTAGTTTTTTTGTCATTAAATTTTTTTTTATAATGTCATATGTTTTTATATTAATTATAAAATATTTATTTATTTTTTAATTATGAACTAATTTAATCATTTAAACTATAATGGAGTTTAGTCAATTTAATACAAAATTTTATTATTTTTATACTTTTAAGACTTTCAATTTCATATAAAGTATATATCTTTATTTTTTTTAATGATTGGCTATTATTAAATTGATTATAAATTGAATAAAAACTAAAAATAAACTAATATGATTCGTACAATAAAAATGATAACTTGAAATTTTCATGTTTGAGAGTTTTATATAATATAATTTACATTTATTTATTTAAATTCACATAAAAAATTTAAAATATTAAAAATATAAAATAAGACAAAATTAAAGAACTTAATTGACAAGTTAAGAATAAATAAGACTTAAAATAATTTCACTAAAGTAGGAAATAAGGATAAACGTTACCGCCTCTCTCTCGTAGGTATGGTTACTCTTTTTCCTTCAATAAATTAAAAGAAAATTACCCATAGGTGTCTTTTGTAAATGGGTCGACCAAACATTCTTAATATTTCAGAACATTACCTAATTATGATTTTTCCTTATTTCTTGAATTTTGAATGGCCCGAATTTGCCTTTCTTCAGGGATCTCGCCAGCGGCTACAGCACTCATCAGCTCCAAGATTTCAATTTCGTATTCATCAGCATCACATTCCATGACGGCCTTGGATAATCTCAACTTCTTCAAACATCAGCAGCAGCATCATCTTTCAGTTAAAAATAATAAATTTAGGAACGCAAAGATAGAGGGTAGCAAGGCTGAGTCCAAATTCATGCTTGGCGCTGCAGGCCCAAAAGTTCCATTCATAGAACGAAACTAAGAACATGGGCAACCCAAATCAGATCCATTATTGTAAACATAACGGTTAAAAATATGGGTGGGAACAAGTCCAACAATGTCAAGTTTATGATCAGGTCATTTAAGAATTCTTAGTATTTATTAACAAAAATTTGAGAATTTTAAATTGCAGTTTATTCCAATCATTTAACTTTTTTTATTATAAATTTTAATTGATAATAAATTATAATTTAAAATTTAAATTACTTCATTTTATTTAATTAAAATTTAATTTAAAATTCAAAAATCTACTTTATTAAAATTCATATATCAAAAGTGAATTTCTAAATTTTAAATTGAATTTTTGTTTTCAAATATAAAAATCAACATTAATAAGGTGAATTTTTTAATTTTAAATTAAATTTTAATAAATAAAACATGCCGTTTAAAGTTGAAATTTCAATTTTATAAACATCAGCATCTTCCCAGCTAGTTCTTCCGCACCCACCATCTTCAAATTAAAAAGAAGAATTTTCTGGTATATGTATGGGCTAAAGTATGAGTCCCGTTGCCGTTGGTACCAGTTTTTGGACTTTGGTCTACAGCAGTGGCGGGAAAAGACTTGTGGATTAAAACTGGCTAGGGCTGTAATTTAGGAAACGAAACTAGAGTCCAAATTCATGCTCGGGCCCAAAAGCCCATCCTCTAAATCGCAGAAAGTCGAAACTGGACTATGGTCATTTTTTGAGAAAAAACTAAGAGTGAAAATTGAAAGAAACTGTATGTGTTTTAATTTTATTTTCTTTTTTATAAAATTGTTATACAATTTAGGTTACTCTAAACTACACAATTAAAATAATTAGATGGGATGGACCCCTTTTTCTTTTTCTTTTTCTTTTTTTATATTTTTTTAATAAAAATTATTTAAAGACTTCTTTAACGTGCTTGTAAGAACTATTCTAATAAAAGTTTTATATAAGTGGTAAAATAATCTAAATAAAATTAAAAAGATCATATATAAAAGTCCAGATTATTTACCTAGAATTAAAATATTAGAGTTGCAACACAAATTTGAAGTGACTAGTAGTATAAATAAAAACAAAGCATTGGAGATTGAGATAAATTAAAATGTAAAACACTTCAACTAATCTCTGTTAAAAGAAAATTGACAAATTTGCAATGGGCCTAGAATAAAAAATAAAAATAAAAAATAAAAAATAAGAAAACACAGGGAAAGGACTTAGCTTTTCAGAGTCACCCTTCGCAACAGGACCTGCTAATTGGGGGCGGGCGGTCAGTCAAGGTCTTACTCAATTACCTGAAGCAATTGCCAGAAAGAAATGAAGTCGAGTGTGGTGAGAATGATAGCTTTAAAGCAATTCAAGTGAAAGACAAATTTCAAGTTAAAGTAATTCATTGTGTCATTATAAGAAACTCTGTAAAGAAAATATTGCCACGAAAAAACAAAGTAATTCATTATGTCATTATGAGAAACTCTGTAGAGAAAAGAAGGCAAGCTGATTGGGCGGTTAGATATGAGAAACCAATCAATGAATTCAAAAGCAAACATAGTAATATACCAGAAGAAAAATGGAGAGATATAATGACTATAAACAGAAACAAAATCGAAAGATAAAGGAAGTGCAATCATAAGAAGAAATGAAGTATTACCGTTGCAGTACATCTTTATGTCCTCTCTTCCATATCATCACCTTGGACCAGATAAAACAGATGGAATCAATGTAGCTGTATCAGTTTGGTGTCCGAGAGTTTCCGCTTCAGCTGGTGCTGGTGGATTTGAGAAATCATATTTGTTTTCATCATCCATTTTGCCCTCTAAGAAATTCACCACGATGGACATTGATGGCCTCCTACCATATTCAACTTGCAAACAACATGCAGCAACTTTCATCATCTCCACAACCTCTGTCGCATGTGATTGCATCTTCTCATTGTACTTATCCACTAGGTCCAGAAGTTGACCATCCTCAACCTTTCTCTTAAAAAGGCTTACCAAATGGACATCCTCTTCTGGCTGGGATCTATCAACATTTTTTCTGCCACATAAAATTTCCAGAACAACAATGCCAAAGCTATATACATCTACTTTTTCTGTAATTACCGAGTTCAACCATTCAGGGGCCATATAACCCGGTGTTCCCCTCATTGTTGTCACAACTTGGCTTTGCTCTCTCCCTACTAGCTTAGACAACCCAAAATCAGAAACCTTGGCATTGAAATTTTCATCCAAGAGGATGTTTTGGGGTTTGATATCCAAGTGAATTATTTTCTGCCTGCATCCTTCATGGAGATATGCTAGTCCCTTGGCTATGTCTACAATCATCTTCCTTCTACATTGCCAACCAAGAACAAGCAGTTTGTCTCTGCAGTAGATCCATTGATCCAATGATCCGTTACACATGTACTCATAAACCAAAAGCATGCGTACTTTCTCAGCACAAAACCCGACCAATCCTACTAAATTGAAATGGTGAATGCTTCCTATGGTCTCAACCTCAGCTATAAATGACTTCTTTACAGGACCAAAACCATCAAGGCACTTTACAGCAACTTGAGTACTACTAGGTAATGTTCCTTGAAAAACACAACCGAATCCTCCCTCACCAAGCTTGTTGCTGAAGTTGTTGGTTATATCCTTCAACTCTTCATAAGAGAATCTTGTTGATGTTCCTGAGATGTGGCCCAGATAATCCTCCTCAACATCCTTCGGATCCTTTTTAATTTGTAGCAGAAGGAAAGTGCAGATAAGAAGCACACTAAAAGTGGCTCCAAGAGTGGATCCAAGTATTACTCCTGCATTCCATCTTCTCTTTCTAGGTGATGGAAGATCCCTTTGTGGAATATATTCAGTTGAAAAACTCAACTTTAAAAACACAGATGGATTGTAATATCTATCCACTTCTCTTTTAAATGACAAAGCTTCAGATCCAAACGAGCACCAGCCAGATGATGAGTTAGAACCATTACTTCGAAAGGCCGCATACTTGCAAGAACAGTTGTTTAAACAAGTTTGCTTGCAGCTCTCTATGTCTGTTATATAAGAATTATCTGGCTGCAAGAGAGTGGAGCAAGAAACATTATTGATCTCAAGAAGACGAGACTTACAAGATGTTAATGGCACAGATGGAGAACACCCAAGATCTGGCTGATCAAGATTAATCGGCTTGAAGTGCCGTGTTTCGTTGTCATCTGGTTCTGGGCAACTGCATCCTCCAGCTGAACAAATTCCATATTTTCCACATGCCAGTGGGTAATCACATCTATCGAGTTGGTTCTCAAACAAATCGACTTCCTTCCATTCTGATTCTTCCCATTCAAAGGACCTTAAGTGCCCATCAGATCCTAATTGTATAACAATATCGTCCGATACTGGAGAAAGGCCAAAACCAAGACTTGTTTTAGTGAATTCAACATAAAACGACCCTGTTTCGCTTTCTAATGCAAGCCCATCGGAACGATAATAGACTAGGTTAGCATCTGACTCCGCAGAAGCAACAACAAAACCACGATTGTCAATTAAGAATGAAAATAAACCCTCCCTCCATTCTGTGGCTGAGAAATTTGACTTCAATTTCTGTCCAGAAACTAAAGTCTGTCCGAAAGTTAAACAGTCTGTTGGATGATCAAAAGACTGCCAAACCGTCTTATTGTTTCCATCAAACAACAGAAGGTTACCTTTATTAGTTAACTTCAATCCAGAAACAGATTTACCTGCTGTTTTGGTAGACCAAACCGGAGTGCCATCAACATCTTGCAGTGTTAGATCTCCTTGCTGGGAAAGCTGCAATGTTGCCCCACCTCCAACAGGATTGTTTCGATTAGCAGACCATACCATTTTTAAATTTGTATAGTAGTTGAAATCAAAGTGGAAGGTAGAGATAGCAAAGAGGCAGGTGTTGTTTTCTTCTAATTTGCAGTGGAAGCCACAAACAAAATTCCTATTGACAAAGATGGGATCCAGTATCAACTCTTTTGATTCCCAACTAAAGTCTGAGATGATGTTAGTGTAAGAGAAGGGAGGCTTCACACTTGAACTATGCACCTTTAGGAACACAGATTGATAGTTATGTGAATTCACTCTCTTGAATGAAAAAGCTTCAGATCTTAAAAAGCACCTTCCAGATGATGAGGAATTACTATTATGTTGGAACACAACATACTTACAAGAACAGTTCTTTAAACAAGCTTGCTTGCAGCTTTCGGTGTCTGCTATGTGATAATCAACTCCGGGGACATAATCAACATTCTTGAGCTCAAGAAGGCTGTGCTGGTAAGGAGACTCACACGATATTGGAATATATGGAGCGCACATAGGACTTGCCTGTAAAGAATATCTCTGCTTGAAGTACGTTGGGCAACTACATCCTTGTGTCGAACAAATTCCATAGTTTCCGCATACCAGTGGATAATCACATTCATGGAATTGGTTCTTAAACAAATCATCCACCAGCCAATATCCTCCAGTCGAGGAGAAGCACAAAAAGTGCCCATCGGAGCCCAATTGTATAAAACTAACTCCAGATCTTGGAGAAAGACCAACACCGAAACTTGTGTTGGTGAGCTCAGCATAAAACTGCCCCGTTTGGCTTCTTAATTGAGACTCGTTAGATTTGTAATACACTATGGTAGCATCTAACTCCACAGAAGCAACAAAATAACCATTATTATCAATTGAAAATGAATATAAACCCTCACTCCAATTTGTGTCAGACATACTTGCCACCAATTTCTGCCCAGAAACTAGTCTCTGTCCGAGAACTAAAGAGTCTGTTGGATGATCAAAAGACTGCCAAATCAAATCATTGTTTCCATCAAACAGCATAAGGTTACCCTGATCAGTTAACTTCAAACCCGAGACAGATTTACCTGTTGTGTTTGTAGACCAAATCAGAGTGCTATCAACATTTTGGAGCGTTAAATCCCCTTGTTGGGAAAGTTGCAATTGTGCCCCATGTCCAACTGGATTGTTTCGATTAGCTGCCCATACGATTTGTGAATCTATGTGAGGGATAGAAGTGAAATTGAAGATGGAGATAGCAAAGAGGCAGGTGTTGTTTTCTTCAACTATGCAGTGGAAGCCACAAACAAAATCCCCATTGACCAAGAGAGGTTTCAGTGTCAACCCATTTGAGTCCCAACTAGAGTCTGAGCCGTTGTTCGTCCAAGAGACTGGAGGTCTCGTCATTGATTGATGATCAAAAGGTTCACCATTTGCTAGAAGCAATGATGTTTTTAACAGAGCTAGAAAGGTAGCAAGAAAGTAGACAGTATACCGTTGCCCCCCAACTACCATTTCTCTTATGATTGATTGCTCTAAAACTGTACAATTGAGCAGCAAGACTAGTTAAATGATTTATGAAGAAACAAAATAGAAAGCACAAAGCATTAGTATGATAAGTTTGTAGATCTGTTTTTTCTCCTTTAATTGTAAACTTCGCTCACCATTCAACTCCGTGTAAATTTCTAATTCCAAGTCATGTAAGCTATTCCATAACTTGGTAATCGGGGCAGTCAAGTCATTGTAGCTACAAATTTCCTCATAATTAACGCCTTATTTCCGTTTGGAAAAATGAATAATGTCCACCACTACCAGGTGCCAAGTGTAAGGGTAAATTCGGGTAAAACTTGGTAAAGGAAAGAGAGAAAAGGAGAGGAGGTCAAGCGAGAGAAAGAGAATGAGAAGGAAAGAATAATAGCAAATTTGTCTGGATAATTTAAAATAATGGAAGGAGAGGAACAAGAAAGATTACATTTTTTTATTTAATTAAATAAATTAAAAAAATTATTGTAAAATTTATTATAATTTTGTAATTTTATTTATTAAAATAAAAGTTAAAATAAAA